AAATATATTCTATATTTAATGTAAATATATTGTTTCCTATTATTGTCTCCTACCTTGTATAGGATTAGGAATATATTGTTTCCTATTATTGACTCCTACCTTGTATAGGATTAGGAACTCTTATGTATATATAGACATGTACTCCCACATATTTGATCAATGAAATTAACCTTTCTACATGGTATCGGAGCCTAAAAATCAAAAACCCTAAACCCCCCCTCTCTCTCTCTCGTTCGGCCTTCTCTCTCTCGCCGTCAGCGCTGACTCCCCACGGCAGCTCTCCTCACCGGCGACACCCTCTCCTCCTCGACGGTTCTCTTCTTCCCCTCACCATGGCCGAAAACAGCGAGATCACTTCCCAAAATACCTCCTCCAAACCTCCTCACCTTGCTTTCACAACAATCTCAAATGTGAAACTTCACGTCCCCGTTCAACTCAGTCTCTCCCAACCTAATTACAAAAAGTGGAGCCGACTCTTCCTCCTTCTGGTTCGGCGATTCAACCTCAAGGGCTACATCAATGGCTCCGTCGTCCCCCTCTCCGATGACGATGACGAATGGTTCCAACTTGACGCTCTCCTCCAGGGTTGGATCCTCTCCACCATCACCGATGAGGTCTCAGATCTGGTCATCTCCTCTGTCTCCACTGCCTCTGCTCTCTGGAAAGTCATCCACGACTTGTTCCACGACAACAAACATGCTCGAGCTATGCAATTGGAACATGAATTTCGCACAACAGTCAAGGGCAACTCAACTATGGCAGCCTATTGCCAACAACTGCAGAATCTTGCTGACTGGCTGGATGATGTTGATGCACCAGTCTCCCAACACCAACTCGTCCTTCAAATGCTTCGTGGTCTCCCTGCCGATCTCCAGGGACAAACATCATTCCTGCAATTTCAGGATCCCATGCCCACATTTCTGCAGGTTCGATCCGCCCTCATGCTGCTGGATCGACAACGGACGGGTCCCTCCGACTCGGGCTCCACGGCTTTCCTCACAACCCGAGCCGGCGGCAACACCCATGGCGGCACTCACGGCGGTACTCCCAGCGGCTATGGCGGACAGCATGGCGGCACAGGCTATGGGGAAGGCAACTCCGGGCAACGTGGAGGTTAGGGACGAGGACAAGTCCGTGGCGGTGGAAATCGGGGCAGAGGTCGCGGATGTCAAAACGGATCACGACCACAGCAATCCTACGACGGCAACAATACCTGGAACTCACCGTACCCTAACCCCAACCCGGGTC